GGCAGACAAGACACACATTAAGACTGAACTATGCACCCTGACTAAAATATTGACAGCCAATGGCTTCCACAAAAGCAAAATCACCAACTTGATCCACAAAAACACACTGAGACATAATAGAGACCCAGAAGATGAACAGACCCATGGAACAGCTGTCCTGCCCTACATAAGAGGCACCACAAACAAAATTAGTAAGATACTATACAGACACCACATCAAGACTGCCTTCAAAACAGACAGAAAAATAGCAGCCATCCTCAGAAACCCCAAAGACAAAATTGACCTGGAAAACCAAGGCATATACGAAGTCCCCTGTGCATCATGCCCGGCCACATACATTGGACAGACCAATAGAAGAATAAGCACCCGCCTGGATGAACACAAAAATGCAGTCAAAAAGCTGGAACACACTTCCTCACTAGTCCAACACATGGAAGCCACAGGTCATAGAATCAACTTCAATGGCACCAAAACCCTAGCCACTATAGAAAATCCCAGCCACAGAATCATCAGAGAAGCCATAGAGATTGAAAAAAAGACCAGAAAGCATGAACAGAAGAGATAATTCCACCAGGCTGTCAATCATTTGGAAGCCTGCACTCACAAACAAAAAAATCTCCACACCACAAGCCAGGCAAACACCTGGGCACAAACAGATCCCCCCTGATACCTCCAGCTCAAACACACCCCAAACAGGCACCCAGATGAAACCCAGCTTCCTAACTAATGATAGCCGTCCATTTACCCGAAGCCAAGCTGCACTAAAGGCCTCCAATAAAGTAACACAATGTTACCAGCCAATCAAGATACAAAAAGAGCCAAAAAAACAGACAGAAGATATTAGAAGCAGAACACAGCAAACTCCAAGACCAATAAACACAGACCAAGAGTCTCAACCAATCAGGATGAAGAAAAAACCATTCTGGCACAGCAATAGGCTGCCCCAAATTTAAATCTGAAACCACTGTAAAAGTCTAACTCACAGACAAACACTATACAAAAGCCTGATGATGGCAGATGAGATTCTGCTGAAACGTTGCTACAACTTTAAAAGCACCGCTACTATGACGTGGGAAAATACCCGAACAAAGCTATCACTTTTTGCCAGTCAGACTTTGACCATTTAATGACATTTGTGTTTTTGATTTGTAGACTTTGAGGGCCACATTGTTCATCTATTAACACAGCCTCAAAAATAATTAGCCTGAAATATGTGTGAATAGATTATGGGAAATGATCTAGCCAAACTTAAATAGTACTAAGTCTCATAAGTTCAATAGAACTATTCCAATGCTAATTTTAGTAAATTATACTCACTTTCTTGAAGCATTCAAATTATCTGAATTGGGAAAAAAAGAAACCACAGAATCTCCTATTCATTGTAAAAAAAAACCTTACTGGCTTGACAGACAAATATTACACTGGTTATATCACAGTAAACATGTGGCATATAGAGGCAGGAATAGAACTTGCAGACTGTCTCTACAGTAGGCCACTCCCTTACCTTACATCAAAAATAGGCTGAGTCTATCTGTAGTAGATATATTTATGTATAATTCTATGTCTTCAAGATTTTCTATGGAGTAGCTTGATTTCATGTGGTACCCATCTTAGACATTACGCAAAAATTAATCATTTTTATTGCTTCCAGGTGGTGTAACTTGTTGTTCAGATGGAACAAGCAACAGAGACAGTCTAAAGTTTGATGAAGAAATCAGTTATGTTGGACCATTCTGTGGCAGAGCCAGAGTACACACAGACTTCACTCCCAGTCCTTACGATTCAGACTCTCTAAAAATCAAGGCAAGATTTCTTCATTCTATACATATATTAATGACTTTGTGCTTTAAGCATTTATAAATCTATTTCCTGTTGTAGTTTCTTTGCTAGTATCTGTTTTACAGATGATTCCAAAGACACTGCTTACTTCACTTACATCTGTGAAAGCGGCAAAGGGTTTTTCACTTTTCCATACAGCTTAACAAAAACAAGATGATGCTTGTGTTTTTTTTCCAAGTTTTTAGTTTTATTTTCCGATATATCCGTATCAATGCATGAACAGCGTGGCACCTGGATATTACACATTTTAGTACAAATAAAAATAGTGCTATTAATCATATTTGTTACAGTACTCAAGCTTATGTAGTTCTAGTGTTGATACATTTGTATTAAATTATAGACTTTCATTACTTAATTATTCAATATTTCATTACCTTATTCTAATGCCAATCACAATATTGTTTAAACATACCTAATAATAGCATCATTCAATTTCTAATCTTTCTTATTATTACTTTTATCTTATTGTATAAGAATGTGTATACTAATATTCCCCCCCTCTCTTATTTCTATCCCTATTCTAACTTTTAATCATGCCACCCTTATATTTAAGAACAAATCCTTTCTATCTGTCATCTCTTGTCCACTTTAAAGCTTTAATTGTTCATTTTTTAACTTGCCTCCCATATTCCTCTCTTGGATCTTTATCCCTATCTGCATCTACATCCTGACTATTCATTTTAAACATTTCTCCCATCTCTGCCCTTTTCCATTGTCTAGCTTTCAAAGTATCTACCCATGCCCCCATCTCCCTTTCAAAAATGTCTTCCTGCATTTCCGGTTCCCTTTTTAAATCTCTTAAAATGTTTTCCCCTTGGTTTATTTCATCAGTCATTATTGTTTTTGTTATTGTTTCCTTCTTGTTATCTTGTTTTGTTTGCTGGTTAATCTCTGAAGATGATGCTTATGTTTGTGTCACCAGCAAAGGTGATTAAGAGTTTCACTCCTGACTAGGAATACAAAGTAATAATTTTAACCTGGGGAAAAGAGACTTCTTCCCGAATTATTTCCCCCCCCTAAACTTATCAGTGATATGAAACTGGCTGAAGGGAAAACTCCCAGGGACTCCAAAAGTGTAATATTTGATGCAAGTGTTTTCAAGTATGGGATAAACTACATGTCTTGGATCAAGTCAAAACCAATATAATGTGCTAACTCAACTACTTTGGACTACATTCAAAACCATTTTTAATTGTACATGGAGATGGCAATTCTCTTTTTCTGCTTAGTTTTCCACCAATCTCTTTTCTCACCTATCTAGGGTTGTACAAATTATTTTGACCTTGAAGCAGCCACTCAGATGTTTCCACCTTGAATCAAAATGTGTATTTTTAAAGTTTTGCTTCTAAGTTGATCCAAAATTTTATAAATCTGAGTTTTTCCAGTGTTTCAACTATTTCAAACACTGGACTGGTGTTTCTGGGATGTCTTTTCCTCCCAAACTAATCTAACCCTGATAACAGCATTATAATTATATTTCTATTGGCTTGATATGAATGGATGATGGAGTAAAATGTTGATAGCAAAGGGGGTAGGAGAAGATTGATATTCATACTTGAATGCCTGCCTGTGTGGTAAGTTACTGCTTAGATTGTTGTTGTTCATTTTTTTTTGCCCTGGGAAAGATAAAGTTGATGTGGGTGAGTATGTTAAATATTATGCACTTTATTTTGCAGGCAGTTAATTCAAATGTTGCACTACTGTGAGTTGTGCATTGTATTACTAATGTTGATGATGGAAAATGCAAAGCTTGTAATAGTGTGTTGGGTTGTTTTTTTAGCTGTGGTCTTTCCACTACATGAAAATTATAGAATCTTGTAGAAATTAAGCTTCCTGGTGCTTTTAAAATGCAGGGTCTATGTTCTTTTCAGTTAATTTATTAATTTCTATTGAATTATGAATTTTGTGATTATCCATGCTTTTGTGCTTTAATTATGTTGAATTTTCAGGATACCTTTTAACATGAAAATATCTATCATCTGTCTGTCTGTCTGTCTCTCTATCATCTATGTATCTATCTATCATCTATCCTCTATCATCCATCTATCATCTATCTGTCCTATTTTTTAACTCCCCATCTCCTTGTTGACTTGGTTGGTTGGTGGCAGATCTACTCAAAAATAGAAAATGTATATTAAGTATTGAGTTGCCTGTTCACTTTCTTTTAAAGCTTAGCCATATTAATCAAAAATCATCTGTCATTTTTTAACATTACTCTTAGTTTTATATTCTGTTTTTGTCTTGGTCTTCTTATAGAAAGGAGATATAATTGATATCATCTGTAAAACCCCAATGGGCATGTGGACTGGACTGCTAAACAACAAGGTCGGAAACTTCAAATTTATTTACGTGGATCTGATTACAGAAGAGGAATCTGCACCCAGAAAAATAAAACCACACAAGAAAAGTAAAATGGCCAAGCCTAATTCTCTTCAGGAATTCTTGGAGCAAATCCATCTCCAGGTTAGCTAAAACTGGAAATATGTGCACTTGAGCTATTCTTCACTTTTAATTTTGTTTTCCAGCTTTAAATTGCTGCTTAGGTCATGGATTGCTTTAGACCAGGGTGTCAAACCTTCCTTCCTCCCTCCCTCCCTTCCTTCCTTCCTTGTTCTCTTTTCTTCTTTTTCCTTCCCTCTTCATTCTCCTTTCTTTCTTCTTCCTTCCCCTCTTTCCTTCTTTTTTCTTCCTTGCTTTCTTCCCATCTACCCATCTTTTTCTTTGTCTTTCCTGTTTTCCTTTCTCCTTTCCTGTCCCTTCTTGGATGTTCAGATGCAAAAAGAGAAACATTTCTTGATGCCTCCTTGCCTTGTGATCAATTGCCATTTTGCTAGTTGATTGTTTTGCTAGCACTCTACTAGCAAAAAACAGAGTTCAGTGGGGGCCTTGTGCAGGTACCCTGAGCTCCATGTTTGGCTGTGACAGCCTCCTGTAGCATTCTGCCAGCAAAAACGGAGCTTGGGAGAGCCATATTCAAATTAGGATGTACTCTTTTAGCAACCATTTGTTCAGTGATTGAAATTATGAGGCACTGAGTTAATGATAATTATGACAAGTTCTCAAACTTATGGCCATTTCCATACCCCTGTGGTAATATTACCAAAATTCATGTACTTGGCACTTGCATTTACGATTGCAGCATGTGTTTCAACTCCCCCACACACACACCTGTCCCCCTCATTCCTCTCTGCCCTTTTGACCATTCTGTACTCTGTGAAAATTTACTTCTTTATTACAATTGAAATTTTAAATCTTTCCCCTCTAGGAATATTTATCAACCCTTTTGCTAAATGGCTATCAAACATTAGAAGATTTGAAAGATCTACATGAAAAGCATTTAGTTGAACTCAACATCAAAGATCCAGAAGACAGGATGAGGCTACTTTCAGCTATTGAGAATCTACAGGACTCTGAAAGTATGTGATACATTTCTGTAAAAAAATGGTGAAAGTTGGATGTACTACACAGTTGTGGATGTGCCTCAGAAGGCTTTAATATATTGCATGATCTGTTTATCATTTTTTAAGAGTGAAAGAACCACAAAAATATTGTTAAAATGTGTAGTGTAAATCCTTAAATAATGTAAAGAATATATAAATATCACTGTAAAGATCAAGTCCATTTGTCACTGGCATCAATGACAATTTTCTTATTTTAATTGAGCTATCCTGTGACATGCTTATCTCAAGGATGAAAGATGAATTCTCAATGAACTTCTAGATTGAAAAGTCAGTTTGTCTTGTTGGTGTTTATTTCTAAACTTCCTGGAGCTGAAATATTGATGGCTCTTATTTCATCAGAAGATCGTAGTCTTCAAGCCCCTAGGCAAAATCTTGCACCAGATATATGTATGCTCTTTTGCTGACATTGTACATGTAGCAGAAGACATGTATTCGGATTTAAAAGAATAAAGTCCATAGTGACAAAGTGCCCTTCCAGACTGCTATAGAATAGTAGTTCATCTACTTTATAAATTAGTAATGGAGTCTGCCATATTATAAATAAATGAACAAGGTAATGAAGATGACTAGAAAAGAAAAGTATGTAAAGATGCATAATAGGTTGTTTACTGAATTAATTATAATGAAAGAAAGGCAAGCCAATGTATTCCTGGGGTTAACATTTAGCAGAATAACTAATTCTGCACGACCTTTGCAAAATCGCAGCACTGAAGTCAAATCAAGTGGAAAATTGAGTTGAAATCCTGGACATCTTTGGTGTAACTAAATATTGCATTTGAAATCAACTTGCCAAGGTCAATATTTATAATTCTACCTGCTAAAAATGATTGTTCTAATTAAAATTGATTGTGTGTACTGCTAGGAATCAGAAGCCAAATTTTATAAGAGGACTAGTTATCAGTCAGAAAAAAATAGTGAAAAAAATAGTGAAATACTCAAAATTAAGCTTAGCCTTCCCTTCAATATATAAATGATTGTTTCTATAAAACTGGATAAGACAAGTGTTCTCAAAAATTTGGAGGCTTATGCTTGTTTTGCTTGAAAAAGAATTTGCAATGCTTGATTGACATATGGTCTAATTATGACATGGATTTTCCCTATGTCCAAATGTTTAGACTCTTGGATTTCATTAATTTCACTGCAGAGATAATAAATTCATATAACCAATCATTATTATTATATCCAAAATAAATGACAAAACTAATAGAAATAAATATTTGTATTATTAAAAATACAAGTTCTTCCATAGGAAGTTATATTCATAGGCTTTTAAAACCAATACATTAACATAATGTGGTTCTAAACTAATATATTATATCCACTATTGACCTCACCCCATTCCTAAGAGGTCTGTAAGGGGCGTGCATAAGTGCACAATCGTGCCTACCGTCCCAGTCCCATTGTCCCCATTTATTCATACCTATTTCCTGTATTCTTATTCATGTTTGTATTTATACCTATTATCTTGTAAGCGATTGGCAAATCAAATAAATAAATAAAATAAAAATAACAAAATTAGCATAAATGTGTATCCAGGCTTCAACTGGAATTCATTTTAAAATGTCTAACAGTGAACCCAATCAGGGAAGCATATTTTTGTGTTTCAGTCAAGCAGAGTTTCTGATATCCATGACTATTGCATATGGGCTACTGAAATTCATGTCACTTCACTAATAAGTTTTATTAACTAATTCTGTGTAAAAATCTGTCACCTTTGTAGGAAAAATGGTTTATCTAGGACATTTCTGCATGCTTCATGAAATGCATACTGTCATCATTTTTATATCATTTATAATTGTAAGTTTGCATACTAAACAATGCCAAAATAAGTGAATTACCTTATAGTATATTGCATATATATATATATATATACCGTGTTTCTCATAAAATAAGGCCGGGTCTTATTTATTTATTTTTTTTGAGTCCTGAAAAAACAGCTAGGACGTCTTTTGGGGGGTGACTTAATTTCCTCCTTTTTGGTGACTTAATTTCCTCCTCCATGCGCACCCCCACCTAGAGCGCCCCATGCGCACTCGCCTCTCCACAAAGCAGATTCTATCGGCTGATGGAAGCTCCCCAAAGGCAGTCACCAGCCGCTTCTATCGGCCGGTAGAAGTGGCCTCGGAGCGAGCGCTCACACGCACTCCCCTCACCATGAAGCATTTTCTGTTGGCCGATTGAAGCTCCCCAAAGGCAGAGTCACCAGCCGCTTCTATCGGCTGGTAGAAGCAGCCTCGGGGCAAGCGCTCACATACACTCCCCTCAGCACGAAGCAGTTTCTATCAGCCAATGGAAGCTCCCCAAAGGCTCTGCTCAATAGTCAGAGATGGGGGGGCCAGAACCGGTCCTTGGATTCCCAGAGTGCACCTGGGGGACCTTGTCTAGGCTGGAAGCTAAGCAGGGTTGGAGCTGGGATGGGGTCCCCAGGAGAGGATTTCCAAGGCTGGAGAGAGAAGTTTAAAAGAGGGGGGACAGGAGAAGAGAACAGCTTCTTTAGCAACCCTCCTGCGATCCAAGTGATTGCAGTGGGAAATCGGGGGCAGGGGGAAATAGGACTAACTGAGGGGATGAAGAAGAGCGGCTGGCTCGGAAAGCAGAAATGCAGCGGGAATCTTGGGGATGTCTGATATTTACTCTGACAACAGCATATGTACAATTGATTGAGTTTGCAGTTGGGAACCTGAGGCATAGCCATGCCTCTCCCCGAAGCAGCTGGTGACTCTGCATTTGTGGACCTTCCATCAGCCAATGGAAGCGGCTGGTGACTCTGCCTTTGGGGAGCTTCCATCGGCTGATAGAAACAACTTTGTGGTGAGGGCAGTGTGCGTGGGCGCTTGTCCCAGGCCGCTTCTACTGGCCAATAGAAACAGCTGGTGACTCTGCCTTTGGGAAGCTTCTATCGGCCGATGTTCTATTGGTAGTAGATCGGGGTATTCTAGCCTAGGCTACCTGCAGGGCACTCCTAGAGGCAAGTTTTCTCCCCCATGCCCTTCCCCCCATTTCTCTTCACCTCGTTTAGTTCTAACAAACGATGTGAGAAATGGCGGGGAAACGCATGGTTTAAATAGGCCTAAATTTGGGGGGCAGGGCTTCATTTCACCTCATCATGTCTAGAAATCATGCTGGGCCTTCCTATTGGTGAAGGGTGTATTGTTGGAGAAACACAGTATCACATCTGCAATCACAACAAGATTATATCATAGACCTATTTAGATAAGATAATCTGTAAGGGAGCCTGAGTTTCTAGAGCTTCATTGGAGTCAGGAAAGACTGCAACAATTATACTTATATATAATTATAAACTAGGAAATTATACATTTAAGGGAAAAAAAATAAGCATCAAGAGTAAACCAAGGGTAAAAAAATGCATATCATGAATATTTATAATAAAGGTCTGTCAGAATGTATGTATCAGCTTTATATTTCTTCAATATCTCCATCCTAATCCTATAGACTAAAGTAGTATAGAATATACATGTCAAAATGATGCATATCATAGGCTCTGCTAGAGCTATCTTATACAACTCTGACCAAAAGCCATTTATCTTTTATGAAACTATTTTACTTTAAGGAAATTACATGACTTCTACAAGTTGATAAGACAGTATGTTCTGCTGATTCAGCAACAATTAGTAGTGATTTTTAAAAAAAGAAAGAAAACCGATTTCTGTATCCTGCGCCTTTAATATTTTACAGATTAAAACTGACATTTGTCATTTGTGGTAAAATGCTTTAAATCAAAGTACACATTCAGTTAGGAAACCCTACAAAAAGATTAATGTGTCACCTCTTTGAGAAATGCAGTTTTGCAATAAAAAGGTCCACACTGTAGCCTGAGAGCACAATTGATTCACAGAGAATTGGATCATATTGGCCAACTGGTTGTTACCTCTCTCTTGACAGTGATTCCCAGTGACAGTGATAGTCACTTCTCTCAGCCCAATCCACCAACAAGCTCTGTCACAAGCAGCTAAAAAATAGAACTCTTTGTCACATCATACATTGATAGTTTTCTTATAAGAACAAAAGTAAGCATGTTAGGAAACAAGCAGATGGTATAACCACCATGCAGGACAAGCCTTGGAAACAATAATAGTCTCAGATCAGGGGTTCAAACTCGCATCGTCACAGTGTTGTCACATGACATATCCCGACTTTTCCACCCCATTCGCTAAACAAGGCATGGCCAGTGTGTGTGACGCATCCAGCCCATGGGTTGTGAGTTTGACAGCCCTGCTCTAGATAGTACCATTATACTTTGCTCTGAATAATATTGCGTATCCCTAGCTTTTCTTTCTTTTTTTGGAGGGGGGGGGGGGTTTCCTCTATTTAGTAGAGAAATTCCTTTCACAAATGATAAAGATACTTTTGGAATAACTATTTAGGCATAAACTTGAATTGCATGCTATACTGCTTTTTTATACTACTTTTTAAACATTTAGCTAAGTTAAACTTTAAAATTATTGGTGAGCTTCACTTTCTAGGATTCTTGATCAGAGGTTCTCCCTGCAATGTTTCAAAATAACCAAGGTATATCTGATACATCGATCTTCAAATCAGTCTAAATCTTGCCCTTCAGACTTTACCACAAGATGGTTCTTCCAAAGGGGTATACGCTAGCCTCCTACCTCTTCGCCATCATTGTTCTGGTATCTTTTTGGGTCTTCACTCTAGTTGCCCACTGCTGTTCTACTACTACAAAATATGGGGACAGCCTGCAGAGGCCTCGAACCATCTGTTCCATCAATCAATTAATCAATCACTGTCCTGCCTTATTATTTTTACAAATAACTCAAGGCAGAGAACATATGCAACACACCTTTCGCCACCACACACCTAGTTTCCCCACAACAACAAATCCATGAAGTTAGTTGGGCTGAGAAAGAGTCACTGCCAAAGGGTCACCCAGCTGGCTTTCATGGCTAAGACGAGACTTAAACTCAGTCTCCTGATTTCTAGCCCAGTGCTTTAACTACAAGACCAAATTATTTCTCTACAAAGAATCCTACAGGTCTTGACCCATCTTATCCTGGAGAAATCCCTGGCAAAAACATCATCCTTTCTGTCTATCCATTATTTAGGAATCCCAATATTGTACATATATTGATATGTATGTACTTGGTTGTTTAGTTAATATGCCAAAGCTTCACTGGTTATTTTCCCCAAACTCTTGTTTATTACACATTGGAGAATTGTTTTTGCATCACAAGTTATATTAATATAAATAACCAAATAAAATCTTGGTTAAAAAATTGGCCAGTTGGTATCTACTTATGAACATGTAACCTATTATTTTTCGCTGATTCTTTTTTTTAAAAAAAAACACCTTCATTTTTTATTCATGAATTAAAAATGCAATACATTCATTATTTAGATAATTTTTAAATAATCATATTGCAAACTTATTTTAATATTTAAATTAAATTATTACTATTTAACTTTACTTTATTGATTAACCCTTGGGCCACATCAAAGTGCTGAGTTCCAGACACAAATTATTACTAAAATCTGATAAAAACAATTTCAAATGGAAATGGATAAAATACAATTTAAAATGAAATTGGAATAAAATATAATAGTATAATATAGAGATAAATAAAATATGATAAAATTATATTTTGGTATCACCCCTACAATCTACTAAATAATTACTATTTAATAATGTAATAATGGCTGCATTAATATTTATAAAATAATACAAACTAGGTACATTTAATAAATATGCTTCATAAATAATAATAAATTAAGAATATTTAAATATATATTTTTATTTATTATATATTTACAATAAATCCTTTTGGATCAAGATAGTTAAGATGGTTTGATCTGTATAATTAACAGATTTAAGATCTGTTTAAAGATTTTTTAATGCGTATATTTTACTGAGTTGTACAGTTTCCTGAGTTGTTCAATCCAAGCCACAGAATTTACATATTATTGCTCTATGGCTATGGACCTCTAAAAAAATTGTCTTGTTACCAAGGCACCGAGAAAAGAAAGCCTTTCTTTCCTTGCATGTGTTTTTGCACAGTTAACTTTGGATGTTTATGAATTTTTTCTTTTATTTAGAAATGATCAATACATTGTTTAAATATGCAACACTAAGGAATTGCTTGTGTACAACTGCTTTGGTTTTCCTCAATCTGGTATCCACTATTTGTTTTGATTACAGTTTATATCAGCTTCTATCAGTATGAACCAGTGGTGGGATTCAAAAAATTTTTACTATGAGTTCTGTGGGCGTGGCTTGGTGGGCGTAAAATCTCCAGTCAGAGGTGGTATTTGCTGGTTCTCTGAACTACTCAAAATTTCCGCTACTGGTTCTCCAGAACTGGTCAGAACCTACTGAATATCACCTCTGGTATCAACAATCATGATTAATGGTCAAAGATAACCCAAAGATTGGGTCAGCCTTGTGAAGTAGTCCCCAGAAACACACCCTATGACCTGCTTATTAATACATTAACAAAATCTTGTAAATCTGAAAGTACATCTCACTCCTATCCCCTTTACATCCAAAGAAACTAGAGAAGTTTGGTCTGCCCATGTATTTGCTTCAGGATAAGGTACTTCTTATCCAATGATTTCCCTGGCTGTGTCTCTTTTCCATTTCTAAAGATCATTCCCACATACCATTACAATTTGTAAAAGAAGACATTCTGACAGAATATATGACTTTGAAAAAGTGCCCCTAAACCAAGCTTAATTTTAAACTTTGTGAATCAAGTTGGCTTGAAAAATCAATGTTATCAATATGTTTCATGGCTGACATCAGTTCCTCTCTATTCTAACTGTGATTCAATAAGAAACTTTCATTTCACTAGTGGAAGAAGTTTGTATGCTACTTTGTGCTTTTCTCAGGTCTTGTTGAAATAATTTTAATCTCTGGCTGACTGGTTGTTTTTTATTTTTTAGATGAGCAAGACCAGGAAACAGAACCAATGCCACAGATGTTAAACCCTCACCTCAGCCCTAACAAACTACAATTAAATGACTGTCCAAGAGATTCTGGTTGCTTTATCTCACCCGAAATATCAGACAATAGTAAAGAAGATCTGGAGGCAGAAAATCTGTCTGACATCATCCAGAAAATTTCCATCTCTGAATCAGATTGAAACTTGTTTACATTTCCAGCAAATTATTAATATTTATTTGGGAGTTTCAAGAAATGCACTGAAATGACTTGTTTGTACAAGTATACAATAATCATAGCATACATAAGTAATTTTGAGACTGTATTTCATTTTATCTTTCTATCAAATTTTGCAAACTAATAATATAAATGTCCTATATTATTATTTGCAAGTTTCTTAAAATATACTAATTGGATTTTATACAGAATTCATATAAGAAATTATATTTCTACAATATGAGTAACATTATTTTATAATTCTGTTTACCTAAAAAAATTAATATTTAAATTTAAATATTGTAAAAATGTATATAATTACAAATTTGAAAAAACTATATAGCTATACTTTTAATCTAATGCTATATTTCTATACAGTACTTTTTCCTAATACAATTAAAGTATATCGAGCTAATTTTTTCAAATAAATATTGTATGCCTATTTTAATTAATCCACTGTGAAGAATGATGTATAATCAGTTAAAACCGTTTATATTGCTTTAAGGTAAATGACTATATATCTATATAAATTACATTATTTATGACATTTAATTCTGGATCCTGATACTTTGACTATATGTTTATTTTTTCCCATCTATTTCATTATTTTATTCACAGTGTAGATTAATTATTAATAGAAAGTAATTTTCTTTTCTCAAGATCTTTTTCAATGTGTGTGATATACAAATAGACATTTAGGAATATATATTTATTACCAGGCATTTTTTTGTAAAAAAGTTTGTATTATTGTCTATTTCTCAGTAATGTCACACCAGCTTTATTTTATAATGATATATAAATATTATCTGGCAAAATAAATTGAGTAGGTGTCATGAAGTCAGTGTCAACACTTTAGTGACCATATCGTAACTTGTCTAAAATGATCTGAATGCATCCGTCTGCTCAACATTTCCCAACCTGCTGCTGCTGTAACTATGTCCATCCATCTGATACTGGACATCCTCTTTCCTTTAATCTTTCCCAGTGATATTGATTTCTGGACCATTGCATAACGTGTCTAAAGTATGACAAAGTGAGCCTAGCTATTTGTACTTTAATTGAGAACAGAATATTGCTTTGTTTGTTGTTCCATATGCTTTTTCTTGATAATGTGTGGTATTTTCAAGAGTTTTCACAACACCATAGTTCAGTTCAGAATAAAATAATGTCACTGAATTGTAATGTAAAGATTTTTCTGGAGAGGCTATAAAATAGCCTAGATTTTTCAGCTGAGAAGTCAATTTAAGTTCTGTAATCGTACAACTTTAAAAAGCAGGTCATCTAATTTGGTTAATGCATTTGCATAAAGTTCTTTGAGTCTAATTTGTCTCAATTTTTTTCAGAAATGAATTATATTAATACAGCTAAGGAGATCAAATCAAACAGAACTGATATGACTAATCCTATTGACTTGGTTGCATTCTTCAAATAAACATAAATTATAAGTAGCTCTGCAAATAATATATTGTGATATTTGTCCAGAAGGAAGGGTAGTACAGGATGATAAAGCATAGAAATAAGCAATTTTAGAAAGCGGATTTCAAATTGGTTTTGAAATGAACAATAAAGCATACTTTTCAGCATTGTTAAATGAAAGTCAGGTGGGGAAGAAAGAAAGTTGTTTTTTGCTGTCTGTTCACTTTCTGACCTTATTTGTTGAAGTGGGTTTATCCAAAAGCATGTTCTGTTTAACTTCAGTTCTGTTAAAAATCCATGGTTTAGGTCAGAAGTGGTATTCAGCAGGTTTTGACCAGTTCTGGAGAACCGGTAGTGGAAATTTCGAGTAGTTCAGAGAACCGGCAAATACCACCTCTGACTGGAGATTTTACGATATCCTTTCCCTGCCACGCATACCAAGCCACACCCACAGAACCGGTAGTAAAAAAAATTCAGTCCCACCACTGGTTTAGGTGTAGGATGATCTCACTAACTTATGTCTTTATTTTAGTTTGCATAAATTGCTGCAGTATTTTGGAGAAAGGGGAAAGGCTATAAAGCTTCTGTTTAAAAGTTTAGGGAATGTGATTTGAAATAACATTTCTGCCTGAGAATTGTTACTAATCAACTTAAAAATATTGAGATGATAGACAAAGTGTGACCTATTGTTTTTAAAAGCAGAATAAAAGGAAGCTGTTCTTGTTTTCATAAGAAGTTTCTTGTTAACTGTATGTTTTCACTGTAAACCACCCAGACATAATTTAAGTGAGATTTTGGATGTCAAGAAATTAAATTTACTTATAATTTACTCTTACTACTGCACTCATGGTTAAAATACAACTATATAACTGTACATCATTATCATCATCGTGATACATCACATGGCGGCAATGTGATGCCACAAGTTTTACATCTGTGCCCGAGGAGATATGGTACAGAATCAGATAGACTTGGGAGAGGAAATATTTTGTCTTAGAATTGCATCCTTCTTCTTTTAACCTTGGTTGATCCAAAAGCACTGATTATTTTTGTGGAAGAACAGGCAAAAAAGATTTGTGGCTATCAAGCTGTGTAAAAGAGCCTCTTTAGGAATGGGATATGTGAAGGAAGAAAAAAAGAAAATCTTTTGGAAACAAAGTATGCCCTTTCCCTAAATAACTGATGAAAAAGGGGTATGAAAAATCAAAGTGGAAATGCAGAAAAGCATAGGAATATAAATTTGTGTATCCCATAATTTCCTAACTTTTAAAATTTCATGTTTTGATTTAATGTTGAATATTTGTTAAGAGACAAAATGTAAATGAATAGTGAAATCCCTATTGAGTTCAACTATGGAGTTCATACATGGAATCAGGACCAGAGCATTTTAAAAATTATTTTGTTTAATGCATAACAAAAGCAAAAGTCCGAGTCACTTGGACTTTTGTATCAATGTTTGAAAAGCCTTCAGTATTGCATCAGTGGATTAATTAATAGTTCTTGTGTAGCCTTCATTATTATTTGAATTTGAAGCCTCTGTGTTCAAGTGTTAAGAGGGAGGCATTAAACGTTTACCTGAAAGAATTAGCTTCAGATTGTACAAATGAAAGTCCAGGTAGAGCTCATCTAATTAAAACTTATTCAACTGAAAATCTTATTTATCAGAAATGAATGTTTCTTCTATCAATACCATCAACAAACTACTCACATGAGCTCGCAATAAGCAAGAGAGCTTCACATGAATGTCAATTAATTTAATTTGCTTTTCAAATAAACTTGCTCTCAATGTGTGCAGTTTAAGTACTGTTCTAGATATCCATCATATAAAGGTCAATTAACCTCAATTTCAGTTATTGGGATTGAATGAAATAACTCCAACTGGGATGCTATTTATTTTCTGCTATTGGAACACAACTGCAAAAATATGTTTCATTTTGGAGAGATATAGACTAAGCATTAAATTAATCAATCAATAAAACAAATTGTTTCATATTTCCATTGTGTATTCTCTGCAATTTTAAAAGATGTTATTGTTTAGAAAATACCTTATCAGAAGAAAGTTATATATAGTATTTTGTGCAAAATGTAAAGCTGTAATATAAGAAGAGTTTGAGGTATATTAATTCATATTTACACTAAACCCTCTCTTGGAAATATTGTTAAAGACAACATGGATAATTCTAATTCTGTAAAATGTTTTAACCTTTAGCCTTGGATTATCAGCATTTACAGCTGATATAAAAAATGTTTGCAATGTTAGAAGAGTTTGAAAGCTCTTGTGTGGAATCATGCAAGCAGCACTAATTGAAGGCCCATCAGTGGTTTAGAAATAATTGAACCAAAAGTAATTGGCTGAAGCCAGGATTACTGGTTTGGGAATGCACCAATTTCAGTCTGTTTCTAATATTGCAGACAGGTATTTAGAAAGCACACTTGACTGGAAGGTTAGTTCATCATTATCTCCTGTGCTGACTTTGCTTCTTTACATCAGCAATTCCTTTGCTAAAACATAGCCATTATGCAGTTATTGTTCAGTGATCACATAATATTATGTAACTTCTTTCTGCAACTAGTATATTACCCAATTTAAGTAATGGCTGCCTGGTGGCTCACTTGACAGTTGCATTAAAAAAAACATTGGGACAGCTGAATTAATATACTTCTGTTTATGAAATCAGTCTTCTATATTCTCCTCTCTAATTATCATCTTGCAAACATCCCAAATTCACTCATCCTAAAAGCACTACAAAACCCTGCCTACTTGCTTTTTCTGGAAAAGCAAAACAACTTTTTATTTTTGTCTATGGAAATTCTCAGTCATCCAGATCATGGTTGTCCAAACGTGCTTTTTCAAAAGGCAACTGGACTTTATTTTTCCTTGAAGACGTTTCACTTCCCATCCAAGAAGTTTCTTCAGTTTTTATTTCAGTTCAGTTCAGTTCAGTTCAGTTCAATTCTTCAGATAGAACTACAAGCTTAGCAAGCTCTAGCATATTTTTACACTCAGTCTTACTCTTTCTGGACTCTTTTTCCATGTCAAAGTTGGTGCTGCTCAGTTTTCAGAGAATTGTACTAATGGGATACAAAAGGACAGAGCCCTAACCCCCTTTACAAAATTCCTTTCCAATATTCTATTTGGTTTGGATAAAAATAAGAACTCCCCACAATGCATTACTTAAGATTTCTTATTAATTGGCAAACACTCTAGTGAGCCACCCCAGTAGACTGATAATATATTTGAGAGAATATGGTATGATTAATAACTCATGTCTTATACTTTGATATGGCTATAAGAAATATGCTATCTTAGGCAGTCAGTTTGGATTGAGGCAATGCCTCCTACAAAGCATCTTGAACATCATCAGGGTCTTGTGGAACAACATTTTGATTAGCTAAGTGAAAATGAATCACAAATGTTGGCATACAGTTATGGTGCAGATTTTATCCAAGGAATGATCAATTGGTTGCAGAGTTGATGAAACATTAAAAGGGAAGATCAATGGAAGACATTATATCCTTATAAGACAAAGATGTTCTGCTCAAGGCCTTACTGTCTCCACCATTCTCATCAGGCATGGGTTGCAATTACAAAGATATGGTAATTGGTAGCATTAAATCAAGTCCCTGAGTGAGATCTGCTGTCACAGCAGCAAGTCCTTCACTGAAAGCTGGCAAACAAACTCTCTCCCTGGCACAGCAGGAACATCAGCCAATCACTGGCATACAGACAGGCTACAT